CTGATGGTGTAGTGGGAGCTGCTGACTGTTCTCTAGGCAATAGGTGGCATCCTCTGTAAAATACTACTAATATTTAAGTATGGTGGGCAGAGTGAAATTAAGAGAGGATAACGCAGTTCTTGCCCTCAGTGCGTGATGCTTTGACTCCCAGAAGAGTCTATGTGGTATATATATTCACCTGTGGTTAGACACGTGACACAACCTTCGTCAGCCATATCACATGCAATGGAGAACAGAAACAACCCACTAGCTACATGGGTTCTAAAAATGCTCCTTCTATGGTACAGATATATAGATACACAGTCTGAAGCTGCTGCACATAGTGTTAATGTCCAGTTATTAAAGAATAATCCTATTCCGAATTTGTCAGGCAAAGTACAAGAAGCAGAAATCAATGTGAGAGAAAAAGCATGCTTCTGTCCAGGTGGTGAGCCAGCAGTCTGCCTGCTAATGCTTTATTTGCCCCCTGTTAAATAAGTGTTAAAGACTGGGCTTCTTGCCCTTAATAGTGTGCTGAGTGAGTAGACGGTGCCAAAAAAGACTTGTAACCTCCTGAGCAGAAAAGTGTGGAAATTATAGCATTGGAAAGGAAATTCTGCCTTCGTACTTGCCAGTGTGAGTTTCACCTCTGACTCAATAAATACCAGGATGTCATCCAGACCCTCAAGCAACTAAAGGAGGACAACAGAAAAAAAACATAGTTGCCAAAATTAGGTCACAGTCTTGCCAGAAAACCCCTTCCCATATAGAAAGAACAGGCATATCTAGTATTTTGAGAGGTGTCTCTGGTGTGGTTGACTTCTGTGACATCACGCGGAATAGTAATTCGGGTAGATTTACCAAGATGGGATTCTGAGAAGTGCAGATGAGAATGGATAGCTCTGAGATGCCAGAGTTTCCCCTTTGTAAGACAAAGCACCGAGGTGGCAGTAGCATCAGCACCATTTCTGACCAATGGTGCAATATGTGTTACCTTAAACTAATTTCCTATTGGTTTCTATGACACATACTTGTCTAAGAACTAAAATCAAGGTCTTAAAGCTGCCTAACTAAAGTAAAGCTGTCTTGAAAAGAATCAAACATCTCAGAGTAAGACAGCCTGTCAGACAAATGAACAACCGTGAAAATAAAACTATGTACATATTATGCTGATTTTTTTCCAGACAATGGAGCTACAAACTTCGGTGTCAACTATTCTAGAAAAAGGGAAAGATGCAAATCACTTTACCACAGGTTAAATCTGTTAGGAAAGATAAAATCACAGTTGTTAAAAGATTATCAAACCAAAAAAGAATGACAGTAAATGTTTTGTTCTGCACCTTCACAACGGTTCCTCTACCGCAAGAGGATTAGGCTGTGTTTACTTCAGTTGTTTTGGGTTAGGGCTTTTTTGGCATGAGGAGATTCCAGGAAAGCCAGTATTTATTCTGCCACCCAGCAGGTGCCTGAGCTAGGCTTGAAATTGCCGAGCTCCAGCCTTCCTGAGGGGTCACAAGAAGTACCTAATTTGAGCATTGAGGAGCAGATTGCTGGTCTGAATAGAGCTGTTTTCTTTGCTTGGTTTTCAGCCTGTACTAATGTGTTCTCCCTTCAGCACAGATAAGGAGGATAATTTTCTCCCATTTGGGCTTTTTTTATAAACCATAAAGACGTTATTTACATATACATGTACATATACAAATGATCTTCTGTTCTTCCTTCCAAGATCAGGACAGTTCTGTCTCCTGAAGGAGACAGCCATGTTCTTCTTCACTGACCTGCGAAGCAGTCTGCCCATTTGGCATCTAGCTCCTGCCATTTCTTGATGATAATTCTGTACTTAATGTTATTTTGTAAAGGGGGAAAAATAACATGGGCATAACATGCTCTGCATACTTTAGTATTGCAGTATTTCCTTTCTAGTTTCCAAGCTTGTCACTGAAAGTACTGGCTGTTTTATATCTAACATAACATTGGCTTCCTGTGTATTATCTCTAACTTAATTTTTGCTCTTCTGTCTCCCACAGTGCTTCTACTGACAAGAGAGACAGTAAATGCTGGAATACAGCATTTCATCCTGAGAATAATTTTTATCTTCTCAGGAGAGGCTTCAAAATAGAAATAGTTGCCTCTATATTGAGCCATCCATCTCTCAGCTCTCGCATGCTCTTGTCATTTTCAAAGAGTGCTTTGTGATTAAAAATAGCTTGATTAGCTGATAAAATTAAATATGCTTTGCACAGGGAGCACCACCCTCAAACATCCTGACTGTTAATGAACTCTCTGCTTGCACATGTTGTCACTCACAGGCTTCAGCCAAGAGGAAGTCTGTGGTTAATGGCAGCTTAAAAACCTTCAAGAAGCCAACAAGCTAGGACGATGTCTTTATTTTTGGAGTTGCTTTGTCATTAGATGTTCCAACATGTGCAACATCACATGTTTGACATATGAGACCAGACTTAGCAGGTTACATTTTAGAAGGGACTTGTTGAGAATAACAGGATGGGGAAGCCGGTCCAGGCGAGGTAGCTGGGGCAGAAGGGATTTTTTGCAGTGGAGTTTCACCCAAGGTGGAACAGAGATTGCGTGCCTGTAAAAGGTCAAAAATATCAAGAGGTTCTGAGAGACTCGATGGAAATTTAGCAGATCCAGAGAAAGTGGAAAGTGAGACAAAACCAGGAGACTGGTGAGCAGATGGGTAGAAGTGGCATCAGATGCAAAGCTACATGCATAAGGTAGTAATCAACTTTGCTCATACACCCAATGTCACTCTTCAGCACTTGCAAGAAAGACGAGGAAATGATGCAGGAAAATGGTGGTGTTCACAACTACCTTGGTCTGTGTACTCCTTTTGCTTGTTTTGGCTGGCACAAATCCAGACCTTTGAGTTTCTCTTTAGGCTGATTCGAGAGAAGCTAGGTGTACAACTTCAGGTTTTGGTTAATATAATCATACAGTCTTCGTGCAGATCACGCTAGCCAACAGCTCTGCCAAAGAGCAGGGGCAGCAGGAAGGCACGAGACTCCTCTGTGCCCTTCAGACTGAAGGGAGCTGGCAGCTGAGTTTGGGGACCAGCAGCATATGTGGAGTCAGAAGGGAGGGGATGCATTGCTTCCTTCTCTCTCAGATTTCTCTTCCTGAGAACTGGTAAAGTTGTAAAGTTAGGCATGCTGCTGCTCTCTGCTGCCTGACATAAGAGCTGAGCACAGAGCGTGAGCTGAGGAGGTGTTCAGATGAAGCCAAATCCAGCCCTGCAGCTTGTTTTTGGGCTAACGGGTGCTTGATTCATCATTCAGCATCACTGGACCAGCTAGCTGCATCAGCCTAATGTGTACCCAGCTAGGGGAGCTCTTCTGCACCCAAGAGAAGCAGAGGCATTTTATTTCCACTTCTGATTTTTTAAAAATGAAGATATTAGTAATATACTATACTCTAAGTGTCAGAGTGGGAATTGTCTGTGGCTTTCCAATATGTGGCTTTTCCAAAAATGTGAGATATGAGCATTGAAATGGAAAAAACAAATTGAAAGCAGGTGATTTTTTAATTTGAAACATGGCTACTTTTATGCTATCAGTGATCTTGTGAGCTCCTCTAACTTCCTCTAAGAAAGGAAGCTAATGCCATCGTTGAAGATGATAGAAAATGCTACTAGAAAATGTAACAAGAAAATGCAGGAGGTGGAAGGCAGAGCAAAGCAGGTTTATGTATTAGTTGAGGTTTGACAGGAAGCTCAGAAGGAAAAATCTGTTATTATTTATAAACATGTAAATTCAGATGAATCATCAACAATGAAAGAAGAAAGCATCTATTCTGTGATCCAAGTCCATGCTGATGTAACTTGAGTCTTCCTAAGTTATGCCAAGGATGACTCTGATCTGAAGACTTTAGGCCTCTCCCCTGCAGAGTGGGCTCTGTTGTCCCATTAGCAGAGAATCACTTCTCTCACAGCCCAGAAATGGGCTTGTGCTACACCAATAGCCAGCACCTCCATCAAGCCTCCCCCTGCCTGGCAATTAACAGTAGCTGCCGAAGAAAAATTATTCCGATGGTACAAGATGTGTGGGAAATAATTGCGTTTAGTGGCAGAAACTGTGAATCGTTTTCTGTTTTCTCTCATTGTCACAGGCTTACTATTGCTGAATTAGAGATGCTGATTAAGAATAACAGCAAGCTTTCGCAACTAAACAAGTTAAGCCATTGTGTCGGCATAATTAGGGAACTAAATCTTTCAGAGTTCAGTCAAGCAAAGAAATGAACTAGAAAATTTGAGACCTATTTTTAACTGGGGATTTTTTTCCCCTCAAAATAACCTCTTAGACAGCCATTGTAGCAAAATACTTGCAAGTCTCCTGTGCCTTCCTAAGGCAACACTTTCATGCATAGAATATAATTTTTGGACTCAGTATCTATCTGCCTTTTTATTCACTTCAATCATATGTGCAAATCTGTATCGGCATGTGCAAATGAAAATGCTGAGGGCTCAGTCACGGCACCTACTTAATAAATATGTCCAATCAAGCTTTCTAAAGATAATTTTGTAAGTTCAGAATTTCTGATGCAAATTATTCCCACAAGACATTACTGTGCCTTGGAAGAAAGACAAATGCCAGAATGTATAATTCACTTGAAATTTCATCTGGTATATGCTTCCACAAGATTATTTACCTTTTATAAGGAAAAATGTTAGCAGGCAAAAATATAGTGATTCTGGGAAACTCCTGGGTTCCTGCAGCCTTTGGGAACCAGTTTAACTCCCTGGCTGTCATTACTGGTTATTAATGAGGAAGTCTTCTCTGGGCTTGTTATGCTGTTAATTGGGGTTTTCCAACTGGAATGATAGTCAGCAGTTGACAATTTCTTTTGTCAACTGTCTAATGAGAGCAACAGATTTCAAAATTGGTGTTAGTCTCTTGCTTTGGGTCCTCACTGCAAGTTTAACAAAATCTGTCCGAAGCAATCATAGCACAACTACACACCTGTGGTAGTTCTATCTGAACAACAATAAAAAATGTTACATGCGATTACAGAGCTGCTGCACAAATTTATTTCAACCATATAGCTCAAACAGAAAATATTTAAATGCACCCTGAAAACTTTAAGCGGATCTCAGTACAGTTTTTGCAATACTCCTCAGGTTCTCCCAGAAGAAATTCCTGCTCATTCCACCTATTGACTTTGGGCTGACTATGGAAATATTCTGGGAAAACCTGAGTTCCGCACCTTCTGGAATTATCCTCTGTCCACACAATTCACACACAATTTATTAGCTGCTGGACTTGGCTGTGTGGAGAAGAGCATGTAGGCATTGCTGGTGGTAGGGCCGAGCAGGTCTAATAAGGCTGCTCCAGCTTGCTGGACGTGAGGAATGGCCAAGGCTGGAGCATGTCTTCAAACTCCCTATACCTCTGCTGTGCTTACAGGAAACTTTGTTGTAGTGTCTTTTGCTGTATTTGTTCTTGTTTGATATTTCTTTTGTCCTTCCTTCACTATATTCAGTCCTCTTACCTATGGGGTTTTTTTTGTTTATCCTCTTGCTGGATGATCTAGTCACCCAACCTCTAGGGAAGAATATTGTTCCATTTGAAGCTGAAGCAGCTGCCTAGACAAGAGCTACAGAGGACTGTTCATGTTTGTTTTGGTACTGTGGTGAAATGCCCCTACTTTACATATTGCCATACTTTGTGGTTTGACTGGGCGGGGAGTTTTTTTGTGTGATTTCTCCTTCAACCTGCCATTGGGAAGCACCCCCTGAAAACACTGCAAGACTACTAAGACTATTGGTAAAACAGGCAGAAAATTCTACTAAATTTTCTAATATTTAAAGTATTTGAAATTGTTGCCCTGGCTGCCTCCATCTGAGTTCTGATGAAGGTAAGTTACCTCAAGCAAGGTAACTCTGATTTGGACCTTTCCTGACTGATGGGGCTGGACTGGGCTGAAATGGGATTCTGGGCAATGGGAGGGTGGGGGGAGCACTGTGGGACTGGGAAAGGACAGTGGGTTCCTTTAGGGCCTTAGCACTTTGTAACTGACAATTTTCTGCACCTTTGGCTTTCATGTCTGCCAAGAGTCACTTTGAGCAACGTGCTGGACACCCACCTACATCTGAGCTGACTTGCTGATGTAACAACCAGACCTTCCCACCTGTACTCACTCATAGTTGTAAAAGAATAGAAACATACAAGTGGATTATTGTCTGTATATCCCCTTGTAAGCATAACACAAACATGGCAAGGGGGTATCTTCTCTGAGTCTCTTCAATGCACACACAGCTGTTTTGCCAAGTGGATGGGATGTCTTCTTGAGTATTGGGTCTAAGTCAAACAACTTCACATGAAGAGTCACACCTGCTTCCAAACTGAGCAGAACCATGGGGCTAAACAGCCCCTTTACATTTCAGGTATTTGGGGTTTTTATCCACTTGGTCTTAGTGAAACAGGTTTTACCCAAGTTCATATCTACAGAATGACTTGAAATAAAGGTGTTTCTTAGCAGTGGTATCACCTCTCCTGCAGAGTAACTCAGCCATAGCATATTTTCATTTGATGAGCACTGGGGACCTTCTTTGAGGCTGTGGTTTAAGTCATCTCTTGACAGACACCTCCTAGAAACGTAGACTCTGTAAGGAGTACGTGGCCCTCCTCGACCTGTCCTGGACCTTGGTGTCCTGACTTACTGGCAGTCTTCAAGGATATCAGTCAATCTAGCCATGCCTGATACTTTGAGAAACTCTTCAATGTCACTTGCTTCATTCTTGATCCATTTTGTTTATTGCTCTTATAAAACTGTTTGGTTTTTTTTCTTTCCAGTATGAACTACCTTCATACAAGAGTATCTTGGGCTTTGATGTACCACACCTAACAGTACCATCAAAAAGGTTTCACAGGGAAATCTAAATCACCACTTTTCACAGTAGTTTGGCTTTACTGACTTCAAGGGTTCAGATGATGCCTAGAGATTGCTCAGTGCCATCCTTATTCCTCTGAGGAAGTCCAACAGTTATTCTGCAAGGAAGTCAAATAGATCACTTTGCTTAAATATCTTGTCTGGATCTAAGATGCCCTGTGTCTATTTACTTTGTTGCTTTACCTTTATCCTGTGGGAGTCCTAAAAATTGAGCTTCTCTTTAAAAGAATCCTGCAAAAACAATTAAAGTAATTAAAATTATCTGGGTTTGTTTCAGGAAACCTGTTTTCCTTCTCTGCATGGCCCATATAAGAGCTGTGATCTGAGTTCCAGCTCAGCATGTTGCAGGATGGAGTGTTACTGTCTCAGGCACAAATTCCTTCTGTCCAACAACATGCTCAAGTAGAAAGCATTTAATATCTTTTCTGATTTAAATGGCGATACCTCCAACTGTCTCATGATGAAAGTAAAACTGATGTCAACACCAAACTGTGGCTTTGCTGAATGCTGTCTGTCTCAATTTCTGCTGCCATTAAATGAGAAGACAGACAAGAAATTTAAAATAATTTGATATGTTTAATAGATTATATTGATGTCTCAAATTTTCAAATGATGGATGTTTGTCAGTCATCAGTACCCTCATCAGCAGTCAGTAGGTAAATCAAAATCTCCTCAGCTGCAAAAATACATAGATTTTCACTGTAATTCAAAACATCTTGAACAGTATTTGAAGGAAAGGAAAAGCAGGAACAGATTTTAAAATAAAAAGTATGTTTTTCTGTTTCAGTTTAGGAAAAAAACAGGACAAATTAAACAGCACATGGCTCATATTTCAATCTCAATTAATTTGCCAATCAAACTCAACTGCTGTCTTTCTATTATCATTTTAAGATGCATAATTTTGAAGTTTAGGAATAAAAAAGAACTAATTTTCTCAGTGTCTCTTTGAATAATGCAAGTTTTATGACAGACTAAACCAAATTGCTTAAAACCAGAAAGGGTATTCCCCATCTGCACCTTGCAGTTCTGCTCATATTAACTTTGTCTGCTCTTATCCCTTTCTATGTCAGCCTAAATCAGTCCAGAAGCAACATCCTTGGAAGGATGCACTTCTGGATCCAAGGTCTGGATGCAGCTGCAAGCTTATCAACAGGAAACAGCTATGGTTTCAGTTTGATAGAGTGGTGTACTCATGTTACCTGTGTTTCCTATTGACAGAAATGTGATTTGTTATGTATTTCTGACATAAAAAGATGTATTTAGAGGTTGAAACACAATAAAATTAAATCAGTTACAAATCTCCCTTTAGTCTTTGTTGTGAAGATGGGATTATTCCTATTATTCTTACGTTACTATCACAAAGCTTTTATAATAAGAAGATGAGCAAAATAGTTTCAACAGGTGTCTTAACAAACATTACTTAAACAAGAGCAAATTACAGTCTCAAATCTCTAGCTTATTTTAGGTGCATATAATAGTTCAGAGACTCTCTCTACAAAAATATTTAGGGTCATCTTAAATCTGGGGAAAATTTTCTCATCTACACCTTCCTGTCATTGGCCTTACTGACAGCTTTTTTTTTCCTCCCCCAGTCCTACAGCATTCAACTCTAAAAATTGTTCTGTGCAACTCAGGACCTCCCTGTAGCTCTGACTGGAGCACTGCCAATGTACTCGGAGCTTCTGCACTCTTTGAACTTCTGGTGGCCCACAGTTGCCTCTCCAGGCATCCTGGATAAATCTAAAATGGTTAGTTGGGCTAATGCTTGCTGGACATATGCAGACCAATTGCAGGAGCCCAGCTGATCTGCATATTCACAACAAATTTGACAGGTCTGAACATCTGTGAGATTTTTGTGGCTAATCTTTTTGGCCGTGTCTCTTTGGCTGCTGATATGTTGGCTGGGCTGCGTACAGACGTGGGCCTCAGACCTGACATGCGCAGAGCTGTCACTACCCTCGTTGCAACAAAAAAAGAGTAAGAACATGGGGATAGATATCCCTTTGGCAGTGATAATAAATGACTAAAAATAAAAGATGGGGGCTCACCAACTCTTTCCCCAGCCCTCAGGATTCTGGAAGGGCAGAGTCTGGCACTGCAGACAGTGAGCTCATCATATAAAATGATGTTTTCTTGCTGCTTCAGGGTGAACTGGAGAGCATCTGAAAGGCTTAGCTGTTGACACTGAGATGTTTTCCCATGTTTTTCTGTTCTGGAGAGTCTGGAAAATCAGTCTTTCCTCAAACATCCGATCTCTCAGACTCGCTTGATTACTTTTTTAGGAGTTTTACACAATCCAACCTCCAAGATTTACAGATCAATCAGGTACATATAAGAGTCATAGCCACTTGAATTTGACGAAGAGCACTAAAAATGCCGTTATTTTTATAGAAGCAACAGAAAAAGTGCCCACAGTTTTCAACATTATAGACCACCGCTGTTCTGAAATATTTCCTCAGAAAAGTAGTATTACACATACAAACAGGTTTTTAAATTCTCAACATACCCTTACCACACTGAATGATCTTAAAACCACATTGCCTTTGTTTTAATAGAAGTCACTACAGAAATCACTGTTAGGAAAAAACCTCTAACACACAACAAAGCTAGTTGCTCAAACATCAATTCATTGAAAATTTACCACAAAGAACAAATTATTTATTTAATCAGCTCTGCTTTTCTTTAGTAGTACCTAAAGCCAGATGACTATACTTGCTCATGGTAACTTAGCAGGTTGGGGTAACTTTCCTTTTTGAAACTGGGTCATGGATCACCTGACTCATTTCTGAAATCTTAATAGAGGAAATCTGCACGAAGGCTTACTGAAAGGAAACTGTTTTACATATAAACCTACTCCTAGGACAGCTTTTGTCTTCTCATATAAGCCTGTGCCTCAGCAGCTGCAGGTGACTTGCCATCCCCCTGCTGTGGCACTCACTAGGCAACAATGCTTTTACAGCTGGTGCAGTCTGATTGTCATTGGGATTTTGTACCTGAGGCAAGACTGACTTGGTCATGTAGCTTATAAGCCCACATAGGGCTTTGAGGGTGTTACATTGGTCATTTAAGAGAATTACTAAATTAAAATTCCACTGCTCAATTTGAAAAATCCCCTGTGCCAGCAGCTTTCTAATTCGTTCAGGCACTTTGGCAGAAAAAAATCTGCTAAAAGTAGCTGGCATAAATGAAGGAGGGTATCAGAGCAGGCTGCAAAACATCACCTGCTACAGCAGGGTGGGATTTTTCATATTTAAAAATACATGAATATGCCAATGTGTCTCATTGCTATTCTGATATGCCCCAGCATTTAAGTGAGTTTCAGCTATGAAATGCAAATGATGATAGTGATTTTCTGGTTATTTAAGTACCAAAAACTTTGCAGTGATATTCCAAGCACCTAAGCCTGGAATATCACTGATATTCCTAACTGAGACCTGAGCATAGTCTCAATGTGTGCCCGATACTCTTTGTCATCAGTGCCATGCACAGCATATGTAATATTGCAAGTATATAACGGCTTCATCCTGAGACAGACTGAGCATGTTCATCTCTCTGTATCTGCTGAAAGGCAAACATGGTCCTGCTGCACCAGAAGAACTTGTATTCTCTTGCATTGAGTTTTATATTAACCTATTTCAGTTGCTTTTAAGTGCAGTGGTGTGGTCATACAGCTATGCAGCCTTATAAAAAAATAAAAGCGGTCTCCATTTAAGAGAATAAAGGTTGGGAATGCCAGCTTTGTTAATTAATTGAAGTTAATTATGAGGAACATTTACGATTTAAAAGTGCTAATTCAAAGAATGGTAAGTGACATCCACATAGCAGATAGTGTGTTGTTACAGATGAAGCATTAGAATAGGATTTGGGCTATCTGAATGCCATCACCTTTTCTTTTATACTGAATTACTGCATGGCCTGGGACCAGTCTGAGCCTCTCAGCATTTGTTTGTGTTGATCTTGATTGGGAATACTACTGTAATGAATAAAATACAGACAAATACATAGCTTTTTGCAAAAATTGAAAAGAGTATTATCATTAAAAGGACACAACACAAATATCCAGGTTTCAGGATAAATTGGAAATTCGGTGCTCCTCTAGCCACACCATCTGCTCAGGCCTACAGGCAGAGCTTGACTGGTGTAGTATCTAGAGATAAAACAATTTGCAGCACAGAGGAATAAAAGTATCTCTGCAGCGGACAGATTAAGCTGGTTGTTTTTTTTTTGCATTCTAATCTGTTAATCATGCACAGGGCTTAAGTATAGCTCAAGGCACACCAGACCTTGAATCATTTAATTTTGTGCTATTTATTGAACTGGATTTAATTTGAAGATATGCTGCTACCTGCTGCTCACCAGTTCTTAAAAAAAATAAATGTCTATAATGAGATTTCTGCCATGAATCAGGGACTGTGTGTTTAAAATGGGTCACAGGGCTGGCTCTTCCAGGCTCCTGTGGCAGCAGCTGCACTTACAACAGTCATGCAGGCTAACTTTTGCAGGATTCACTTGAGGGGCAAATCTGGGGGCACTCCATTTAAAGTACCTACCATCCTTGTTTTTTTATTTTTCATTTGCTCAAAGCAACTGCAGGCAGCACAGAAAGCAGAGAGTAAAAAATTAAAAGAGTGAGTAATGTATGGAAGTGAGGGAATGGAGTAGTAAGTCTGAGCTCAGCCAAGAGGAAGCTGGTGGCTGTGCAAGCCCAGGAGAGAGTCCACAACAATTCCTGGGGAGAAGGGGACAGGCCCCACTTCCAGAAGGTGAAAAGGGCTGAGATGCTGAGAATGCATAAATGTGGCCTAGCACCCATAATGCTCGTAATTGCTGACAGCATTACAGCAAATCCCAGAGGGAAAGAAACGACCAAACATGTAGATATGCTTTGGGATGAGATGGAAAACCAACTAAATAATGGAGACCCTAAAAGTGTGCTGAAACAAAGCATCTGTTAATTTCAAAATTTTTACTTTTATAGTTTCTGGGCTGTGAGCTCCTCCTGCAATGCTTTTACCAGCAAAGATTTTCTTGAGTTTTTTTTTCCTCACTGTATATGAGTGATTTTAGAGTTGAGAGCACCAAACATCAGAAGATTCACTGGACAAACCTGGAGACACTGTGCTTGTTCAGGGCAGGATCAGATAGTCTGGAGGCATTGCAAGATATGGGACAGTGTACTTCAAAGTGACTGCTGATGTTTTGCACAGAAGTGCCCATTTATAAGACTTACTCCTGGTTCACATCGGTTATGCTGTGACATCTGCTTCTGCTCCTTAACTCATCTCACACATGGGATTTGGAAATGCCGACTGCTCCTTCAGTGATTGTTGGCTGTCGTGAACATGGCATGTTCCTTTGGCTCAGAACTTGAGGAAATATTTCTGTGAGGAACTAAAAAATTAAGCAAGACTATCCTAAAATATTAAAGTAAATACACCTGTTAGATCGTCTACTTTCTTGTCACATAAGCCAATTTGCTTCATTTAGCACAGTAAAATATACAGGTATTACCTTCCATGATTACCTGATTTGAAACTGGATAGCAAAATGGAGAATCAGATCCCTTGTGAACTGACTATATTAGGAAAGCAATAACAAGGTTGAATATAAAATTGCCAATGCCAACCTACGGCATCCATCTTTCTCTCTCTACCTGTTTTGGAGTCAGACAAGGAGTAGTTTCAATAGTCAACAAGAATGCTGATGTTTGGTTTTCCTTCTCTTTCTGTTTTCAATTTTCTCTCAGTCATTTTTCTGGCTTGGTTTACAAAATTTATTTCCTTAGTAAATGTACATTTTTAATATATGAATTGGAAAGGAATGCTGACCACCAGAAGGAAAACTGTGTTGAGGAGGTGAATGCATACCTCACCTTGCAGCCCAGAGAGGGCTATAGCTCTTGAGCATGGTAGGTGGGTTTGATGGGGTGGGGGAATCAGGTAAACAAATTCTTTATTCATTGTCACTGTAATCCCAAATAGTTACCTTGGGTTTACTCATAAAGTCCTCAGGGCTGCAAGTGCTAAAAAGAGAAAGGGCATATAAAGCAATACAAACTCTCCTTCTTTTGAGTAGCCATTTAATCCAAGACAGCTGCCATGGATATCCACCTGTTCAAGACACTTGCTGGTGCTTAGCAGTGTTTTGGAGATATGATAAAGGTTATTTCTAGGGTTTTTTTCCAAGTTCATTAAAAGTATGGAGGACATTTTAAGGGTGTTTTTTTGGGGAGGGAATTATGGCCATCATATGTCAAGGTGTTCCTGGAAGACCTAGCCAACTGCATTAAAACACAAACCTAAAGAATACTGAAACCCAAATCCTATGGTGATTACAAAGGGTATTACATTTCCTCTGTAATGCAGTCAACCTATGGGCAGTTAGATGCTGTATCTGACAGCAGTCAGAGAGGAGCGCTTTCTTTTCCTCACACCTCTGTATTTCTTCACACCCTACCAGCCCACTTTAACCTCAGACTCATAAATGGATTGGAGATGACTACACTTACTCCTTTGAGTTAATCTATTCCCAGAAGCTAGTGGCAGAATGAGGCTTTCAGGCAAATAAGGTGATCTTTTCCAAGTTGCTTCTTTGGCCATCACAATCTCCTCAGAAACATGCCATTTTTGTTGCAGGCCTCCATCTTTCCCTTTTCCTATGTCAGCTGCATGTTTGGTCTAACTGGTCTAACTGGTCTACTCTGGCCTCCAATCGGGAGGCCTGGAGACACACCATCTACAACGCTGCTGTTTCCTTTGAGAAAGCACGCAGGATCACTCTCGAGGAGAAAAGACAGCACAGAAAGAATCGTGTCTTGCAGAATATACCACCTAAGGAGTCTTTCTGCTGTGCCTTTTGCAATCGGACATGTCTATCTCGTATTGGCCTCATCAGCCACCAGCGCGCTTGTAACAAATGTGGTTAGAGCCCTCCTAAATCTTCGTTCGCGAAGCCCAGCCATGATGCAGGTTTATTCCCCCCAGCCCAAGGCACTTTATATTCCTTAGTGGCTTGGACATCAGTTCGGCATCTGTTGCTCTGGTCACAAAAGGATAACAAAAATTATTATTCAGTAATTGGCTAACTCTCAGAAAATAAAAACTTGTTTATTCTGTTCACAAGAGTCAGTTTCAGAAGCTGATCTCTTCTTGAAAATGGCCAATGGCACACAGATCAATATCTTAACAAAGCTAGGGTTGTCTGTAACCGGACAGACCCTTCAGTAAGTTTTGTTTTGCTTTCCTGAAAATCACTTAATGAACCTCTGCATGTCCTATCTTGTCAAAATTAGCATTTTTTCACCCAGATGAGTAAATTAAGTGACAGTATCACTGACCCATCATGACTATCCTGTTTTCATTTCAAATTCTGTGAATGACTGGACACGCAGCTAGTTTGGGTACATGCCCTGAGGGGCAGCCTTTTACTGCTCCGCTTTTACATGTTGGCACTTGGCCTGGGCTTCACAGAATTACAGAATGGTTGAGACTGAAGGGACCTCTGGAAGTCTTCTAGTCCAAGAGCCACTTCATCTTCTAACTTGCTTTTATACATCTATGTTGGAAGCATTTACAACTGAGCAGATCACCCTGTCTATCGTCCTCAGTCACTGGACAGAAAGTGGCAACCTCAAGGTGCAGTTTGTTTAATCTAGCACTAGTAACAGGTTTCAAATGGGATGAGTCATGCCCAGAAACATCTGTTGCTCTCAGTTGACTACAAAGAGAGCCCAATGCCAAAGCAGAAGTCTGCACTGGGAATGTCAAATCTGAGCAGATTTATCCTCACCTCTCATCTTTGTATTCATCTTTTAAACTCTCCTGACACAGCTC